TTTTGGTTAACTAAACCTTTATTCTCATTATTTCTAATATTAAAATTTTTATCTTTATTGGACTTTTTATCGTTATTAACATAACTTACGTTATCAATATCTGATTTAATATTATTGCTCTAACCTACTTCCTATCTACACCATTTCATTTAAGGTTAAATTAATATCTTTACTTAATTTATATTTTATGTTGTCGATTAAGGTTGACGTTCTTAACTTTACTTTTATGCGACTCTCGTCGGAAATATAACATTTTCTATTTAATTTGGACAGTCTAACGTACCACTCTAGAAAATTTTTATTTGGGGTTTAACACGCTAGATTAAATTTATTAATTAAAATGTTTTTATCCTGTGTCGGTTAAATTAAAGATATCTAAGTTTTTTAATCACTATTTTAAGGTCCAAAATTTCAATATTCGAGCAAATGGAATTAATATTATCGAACACATCATCTGATAAATTGGAAAGTAAAGTGTTTATTTTAACGGAGTCAGATAATGTGGTCGAAAAATAGTCAAGTACACGATCAATGTAAACTTCCGTTAAAGGTCCGACTAACTTAGGAAATTTGTTAATATCCTTAATAATAATTTAAATTTTTTATTATTTACTTAATTCGCTAACTAATAATGTTTCAAAAAAAGCGTTAGCATATGTTTCTATAAAGCTAAATAATCCATAGTATAAATCATTACTTAACCTTTTGATTTTATATACTAATTTTTAGATATAAAAAAAGATATATAAACCATATGAAATATAAATAAAGTGAACATTTTTCATTTTATAATCAATTGTTCTACATGATACATGTGAAAGCAAATTTAAAATAGCATATTTTTTTATATATAAGAAAAAAATCATGCTAATCATAATCACAATATCGAGAAATTCCTCAAAAATGAATTCCCCTCATTTATAAATCTTAATATTTGTATGGTCGGTTAATAAAAATAAAAAGTTATTGTTTCCCTATTTGCTTCAGCCTTCGTCAGTGTAGTTCATAGGCGGAGCCAAGGGGAGGAGGGGGGGCAAGGGGAAATCACCCCCCTTCAGAAATATATTACTTTTTGTGAATAATTTTAAGCTAATAAAAAATATCCCCCTTAGTTCTCCCCCCACTCCCTGACCCCCAAAAATGTATGCATATATCTTAAATTGAAAGAATAAGACAATTTAAGAATATTTACAATCAAAATTTTATTTTAATAATTCTATTTACAAATGTATAAATATTATGACATTGGAACAGAAACCATCAATTGATGGTTTTTATAATTTAATAAATTTATTAAAAATACTGAAAGACATTGATGCCTTGTTTGTGGAGATTGTAATTCTCTTTATTTTTTATGATTCGCCAAAATACTTAAAGTTAGATCGTCTAAAAGCAGAGGAGAAATAGGTAGAATTATTTCGTAATAACGATAAATTCCCATGCTTGGAAAAAATATGCGAGTATGACTTCTCCTTACCTCATTTTAATGCCTCATCCAAGCGCATTTTTAGCCTGATGAGGACTGCCTGGAAAAAAGAGAGAAATTGGATTGCTTTAACAACATTAGAGGCCGAGCAAATATATAATATGTCATGCCAGGAATTTTATAAATATCTCAATAACGACGGTAAACATTTAGTTCTATTATTTAAATTTCAAATAAAATATAATTAAGTTTTAGCAATAGCACCATAAAATTTATTGTTAATTTTTAACTGTAAAGATGAACACATCTGCAGCATAATTTTGTGAATCTTCATTAAGATTCTTCTGATTGCAACTACACATTAACAGCATTTAGTAGATTTCCTACATATAAAATCATTCCTAAATATACCTCTGCCATTCATTATTGAAAAAAATTTCCAAGACAGCATTTATAATCTTTATTTAAGAAATATTTTTTTTAAGGTTTATAAAATTTTAAAATTCTATCGATGGCGGGTATTAGGAACATATCCCAACCAACATTGTGCTAACTCAATTCTGTAAATACATTCTGTTTTTACCAAATTCACTGAGGCATTATCAGATCATAAAGCTGACATGCAATTTATTGATAATCTCTCTGCTATATTTACCATTATAAGGTTAGATATGTCTTTAGATTTTTCACTATTCGAGGGATAAAAATTTAATAATTTTATTGAAACGACCTGAATTTTGTTGAAATAGCTAAGGATCAAGGGAAATATCTTAATATATTTCCCTGCATCTGTTAGAATTTTATATGTTCGCTCATCTTTCAAATTGTCAAGAATTGACCTCCTGGATTTAGGTCCTAAAACATTAATGATAGCCTTGCTCATTTTTGTTCTACAAGTATGAGTCGTTAAATATTATGGGGAAAAGATCCAACCAATATTGGGATGATAAGTATCTCTGTGAATGTTGCACTTGATTAAAATTGCCGGAACTGTAATTGCATCTGTATTATTTCTTATTTTTGGAGTACCTTATTATGTATTTAAACGTGATACGTGATAATTAAATCCCTATAATGTTATACACACACGGTAGATTTCCAATTGCGGTCGTTTTGCGGGACATTCACATAAAATATATTTTTAATTGTAAAATAAAAATCGTTTTTTTTAATAAAATTTTATCTTGTTTACATTCTTTTATATTTAAAAAACGTTGGTTTTTTTATAAATTAATATATTCTAATAAATCACGACGTATTTTATTTTGAAAAATAGTTAACGACTTTGTATTTATATAAACTAATTATAAAAATAATAGGAGGATAATTAAGTCAATTCAAAATCCCGGTCGAAGAATTTTTATATTTCGACCGCAATTTTCATATTTCTCCCGCATAATACCAAATTTCTCCCGCAATTTGGAAATTTTGACCTGGAAACCCTGATCTAGATTCCATCATGTCATCTAAAAGGAAGCTCTAACCACCATATAGTTTTATGATTTGGATTGGTCGTTTATACTCGTTTCTTCAAGAATTGTTGAATTGGTCTAGGCCTATAAATTTTTCCTTTTTAATCCATTCTATAAATCATTGTCTAAAATGGTAACAGAGAGTTATATTAGTTTGATAACATTTGTCAATGTAAGTTGCTAAAAATTATATTATTGCATTATGTGGTTTTTAAAAACTATTATCAATTGAGGCATATGTATGAATAAATAAATCTTTTTTTTCACTTGTAATTATTTAGACGCAAATTTTTTTTATATCAGCAATCAAAAATATATAGTATTAAAAAATTTTATTTTTAATTATTTATATGCTAGTTTATTATGTATGCAAAATATAATAAATGAGAAAATATGAAATTCAGAATAATTGTTTAGAGTTAGCAAATTTTAAAAAAGTATAATATATTAATATAAAACCCCTGAAGGCCCGCAAATTGGAGGGCATGGGGGACGAAGCCCCCCATAAAAATGTTTTTAGTTTAACCCCCTGAGATTGTAAAGGCTAGCGACGCCCCTGAAAACTATTCATCATAATTTAAAATTTTTTAGAAAAAAGCATTTATATATAAAAAAAGTGAACAAAAAATGTTTTTTAAGAAATGGATATAAGACAAAGATAGGTCTTAAGACAAAAGTGAAATGTATTATAATTATTAATAATAGATCCATAAAATTACTAAGTAATATAATATATCAAATATAAATTTTATAAAGTGAATTTTAATTAATTTATTTTAATAAAAGTAAAATATAATTATAAAACTATTAAAAAATTTAAATCATAAATTAAATAAAAAAATTAAAGCACAATACAAACAGTGGAATATTGTATGTCGTAGATTTACATTATATATAATTTAATCAAATATGACAATCAAATAATTTTTATCATTATAGCGAATCATTTTACAGAAAACTATAAATATTGATGAGGACATCAAATTAAAGACATTGTGGGATGAATAATATAAAGATTATTTTCTAATATCATTTTATATTTAAAATATATAGATGGCGTTAAATAATTGAATGCAAATTGTTGCCATATTTATTATCAAGACCATTGATTAGTAGATTTTGTTAAAATATTAACTGTAATATATTCTCTAACTGTCAAATATGTCTGTAAAAGTGGAATTTTATCTAGTATTTTGTAACAAATTCTATATAATAGAGGAATATCAACTATATGTCTACTTAATTTTTATAAATAATTTCTTATACTTGTTTGGAATAAATTATTACCTATATTTTAATGTATATACAAGTAATTTATTATATTTTTTATAATCTAATAAAAATACATTTCATATTTGTTTCAGGCGTATTTTTTTATTAAAAATAACCTCCTCTCTTGTAAAAATATTTTATGACTATATAATGACTTACCAGACCGAAGGCCGGGGAAAATGGGTTCTGGGGGCTTCGCGCCCAGACTTTAATCCCCCCACCTTAGGAAAATCCTTATGCCTATGGTGTAGTTATTAATAGGAATTTGATTGAAGTTTTGGTTAAATTATAGTGCCCAAATTAGACAGGTTTTACTTTCATTTAAGGCTAATATAATTTTAAACTAATCATCAAATTTTTCTTATTTTTAAATATATTCCATTAAAACTCAATTAAGTCTTTAGAATATGACATTTTTCTCATATCTCTCTCTTTATTAGAATTTATAATTATTATCTATTTATATGGTTCTACAAATTAATATATTTATTTATTAAATCCTGCAGATATTAATTGTACTCTGAGTGCGATTTAAAATTGCTTCCCTATAAATTTTAAAATTTTAAATTAACATAGAAATTATTTATTTTCAAATCAAATCCGACTCGAATTAAACTCAGGTGAACCTTCAAATTGATCTTACTGGATCGGAATAAATCTAGTAGGATTGGAAATTTTTAAAAAAAATAGGAAATTAACGCAAGTTATATAATGTAATTGTAATACAGTCATTTGATATAGAAATTGCGATTTGATAATATTATAATTACGTTTAACAAAACTATAACAATGAGTTGATTGATTTTATGTCGATCTTGTCAAGTTACTTTTTATAATAAGTTCATAATTTTAACTTGTGAAAATGCCAGTTTTAAAAAATGAAGATGGTTTAGAAATCAATGCTGAAGGACAATCGTTTGGAAATTTGCAACTACCTTTTGCTAAAATAAAAAAAATAATTAAGTTAAATTTAGATATAGAGTTAGCAAGTGGAGATGCCGTTTATGTTATGGGAAAAGCTACGGTTTGTAGTAATTAGTTATGGAATATAAATATATTTTTTTTAAGGAACTTTTTATTGCCCATTTATGCAAGGCCTTTTACAGTGCCGTTAATAAATCAAGTCTCACAAAAAAGCAATTAGGTCATAAATTTGATTTCTAAATATTTAAGGCTCTGTTTTAAATTTAAAAAAAAAATTACTCAAAAGTTTTGAGAAATGCACAACTTTCATTAGTTTTGAGAGATTTGAAACATGTCCCAAATCATACATTTATTTTCAATTTAAAATATATAAAATGTTTGATGTGAATGATTTACTAATTCTATTTTTTATATTTTGAAGATAATCATGAGTGCCAAATTTAAACACTTATATAAATCCTCAGAAACATATTACTAATATACAAATTGTTATTAATTATGAAACCCTTATTCCAAAAATTTTTATATACATTTATTTTTTAATTAACATTATATATTATCTTCATATTTATAATTTTGTATATTTTTATAATAAAAATTATTATGTATTATGTTTAATGAATTTTTATAAAATGTTATTTAAGTCATTTTAGCAGTCTTCCTTAAATTACAATTTTTTTTCAATATTTATAAATAAATGCTATAACAACAAATATAAGAAATATAAGTTAATGATAAGTAAAAATTTAAATGTATATATAAATTATTAAATAAAGATTTCATAATTAATTTGTGTACAATGATTGCCCTCAATATCAATAATAATATTTTGGCACTCATGATTATCTTTAAATTATATAAAATATAGAATTAGTAAATCATTCACATCAAACATTTTATATATTTTAAATTGAAAATAAAAATATGATTTGGGACATGCTTCGTATCTCAAAACTCACGAAAGTTTTGCATTTCACAAAACTTTTGAGAAATTTTTTTTAAATTTAGGACACAGCCTAAGCAAGTTTTACATGATATTTTTTTCTTAAAAACAAATTTTATAAATATTTATTTAAAAATTATTTATAGATGACTACTGCCGTAATGAAAAGTGGACGGAATTTTTAGATGATATTTAAAATACATGATATATAGTAAAGTTGAATTTTATTAATAATAATGAATTTTTTGTAATATTGAAATTTTTAAATATTATCACTTTCTTATTAGGGTATTTAAATTTATATATATATATTTTTTTAAAATTTAAATTATCAATCTTTTTACATAATAAATGAGTTGCCATAACCTCATTAGAGTTTCTGAATGTGTTATAAAGTTACTTTTTAAAATAACTTATTACCAAGGATGGACTGATAGCTTTGGCTTGAACAAATTATAGTGGCCTTATGACCACCAAATATGCAAGCCTTCCACCCACATTTTTCCAAGCTTTTGCACATAAAATTATACATATGGTGCATATAAATAGACATTACACATAGAGGCATGTGCAAATGTGAAAACACTTGTTTATTTTTTTTACTAATGATTTGAATCTCTTTTTTTTGTTAATTTTGTTTTGATTGCCTAGTGATTAGATAAATTAAGTATTTAAGGGCTGCCAGCTTCATAAAAAATCTTAGATAAAATCAAGCATATTCAAAATATAGTTTCACAAATAGAATTTAAACAAATGGATATTATATAATGATGACAGTCTAACTTTGGTATAAATAAACAATAATTTATTCTCAATTTAAACCAAAATCTTTCAATAAAATTTTTGATTGCCTAGTGATTAGATAAATTAAGTATTTAAGGGCTGCCAGCTTCACCAAAAATCTTAGATAAAATCAAGCATATTCAAAATATAGTTTCACAAATAGAATTTAAACAAATGGATATTATATAATGATGACAGTCTAACTTTGGTACAAATAAACAATAATTTATTCTCAATTTAAACCAAAATCTTTCAATAAAATTAAAAAATTTTCCAATTTATCTTGACTGATGCTTGCTCTCAGCCTATTAATTTTTAATTTACTACTACCCCCCCCCCCCTCCTCATTACCGAGAACCAAGGCATACTATTATTTAATATCTTTATTTTAATTATCTTTCATATTATATCCTAGTCAAGATATTTTTATAAAAAGTGTTTAACCCCCCCTCATGACCTAGATCTGAGGTCTTACAGTAATAATTAATTTTAATAATACTATTAAAAATCTTTTTGCTTAAATTTGGTACCCTTGTTTAAATTAATGAATCAAATATAATGATGTTGAATTTCATGGGCATATTCCAACATGTACGCCTAATATTATATCTTACAATATTTTTGAAATCTTATGTAGAATTTGACTAATTTTTCTACATCCATATCTAATGTTTCCCATGATGTGTAGCACAATTGATTTCATTAGTTATATTAAGTCAAGACACTTAAGTTATAAGTTATTTTATTAATAAATTTATAAATATAAGAATTATCAAATAAAATTTTAAATATTTTTTTTATAATCATGAAAAAATTGCAAAATTAAAGATTGTTCTGCATATGAATTTCTCATTATTTATACATTAATTTAGATGTTATAATTTGAATAATTATACCTATAATTTAATATAATTTATTACTAAACTATTTCAATTTTATATAGTATAAAATTATGATTATTTTCATCTTTTACCTACTAAATGGTTTGTATAATATATTTAACTAAGTAATAAAAAAAACAACTCGTCTCAGACAAAATTATTTAAATAATAATAAAAAAATAATTTGCTTCAAAATAAATTTTAAATAAAATAAAAACAATAAAATTGCATTTGTCTAAATTATTAAACAATGAATTTTCCTCACTTTGCATCCTTGTATGCAACACCACTTCTCTTAGACAACTACTCCCAGGGAACTGTACTATGATTGAGTCATCAATCTAGGCACCTCATTTTGAATGGTCATTAAAGTTTTATTATTTGTGGCTTGAGAGATGTAAAGGTAAGGAAATAATGGGAATTTTCCACATGTTTCCTTAATATAAATATAATATTTTATTTTAAAAATTATGATATATAATTTTATTTATTATATCATAGATTTTAAAATAATTTTTATTTTCCTCGTGAGTCTTTAAACTTATTTTTTTTTATCATGCCATCTAAAAATGTAGTTAACATTTTGTACATAATTCTATCCCTTCCCTCGTTTCCTCTTTAAATTATATGCTTCAATAAAAACCATTTCAACTTCAATAATATCCCATTCGTTTCCAAATAAAAATTATCTCATTTTTAAAAGGGAAAACATTTTATACAATTAGATAGCATCATATATATGAGTGGGCAACTACATTGTAGATAGAGATAAGAGCTATAAATGGGTAGATAATATTCAAAAACTGGTAAATTCTGGGAAAAAGCCACCCATTATACGGTGAAATGATAAACGATTTGAGGAACAGCCCAATCGAGCCTACAAAAAGAAGTGACAGAAATGGTAGAAGGGTACCATTACAGCCAAGACAATGGGCCTGTGAGGGATATCACCTAATGCGATTCTGCATTGAGCAAATAATGGTCATAAATAACGAAACGATAAGGATCATTCAAAGTGAGATGCCTAGATTGATAACTCAACCAGGGACGAATACAGTTCCCTAGGAATAGGTTTATAAGAAAAGGATTGTTACATGCAACAGAAATAATACCTAAATAGTATGTAATATATGTAAAAATTTCTTTTGAAATAAGTGCAGAATAATCTACCATTCTAAAATACATACAAATCTTTATTTTTGTTCAAAATGCATATATCAAATGCTTATATTTATACCATTTATAATATTTTCTCTTCTAAGGTTAATGTGACAAATTTAATATTCCTCATGTAATTTATTGCTTTATTTCTAGTTTTTTTATTAAAATTTTTTTCCTACTGGATTTCTTTATAATGAATCTGCAATATAGTATTGTTAACACCTTTCTTATCCATTATATCTTAGTTATGCACTGATAATTTATATGCTCATATTAGCTGTCATTGATTTGTTTATCTCTTATTTGTATATACAGTACAGTTGAACCCCTCTGGGCCCTTGATAATTCGGGCAACTCCTTAATTTAACCAAAATTTTGAGTTCAATCAAATTTCTATTAACTACTATTAGTAAAAGCCTTGACAAATTAAGGAACAATATTTTTTGAAAACGTAAGACCTCTATAAAGTGAACATTTGAGGATGTTTGTTGCATTCATTTATTTATATTATTAAATTTTATCATCTTTTTAAAATGATATATATCAAATAACAAAATTGATAAATAATGGGTTATCATTAATTCAAAAAAAAAAATAGGTTATTAGATTTTCTAAATCATCATATTTAAAAAGATGTGCTAAAAGATTAATATTTCAAAATAAACTGTTCGCAATATACATAATCCAAAGAAGACATTATCAAACGCCACCCAAACACATTTACCAAATGAACTAACAGAGATAACATTTTATTTCATATATTAATCTTATTTTTTATACAACGATTTTATAATAATTTTACTTACGATTTTGATGATTTAATAAAAAAAAAAAAATTGTTTGAAAATGGTTGAACATAATTTCACCTTTTGCCAAACTAAAAAAAATAATATGATAATGGAAAATAAAAATCTGTGTACAAATATTTTTTTAAAGTCTTAACTAGAATCAAATTTCCCGGCTCTTAAAAATCAAAAAAGTTTCATAGTTTTAAAATGCTAACGATATTTTTTTATCTTTAAATCTGTAGAAAGATTATTATTTATAAGATATATCGTAGGGTTCTTATTGTAATGTTCTGTATCTATTTTTTTTGTCAAAATTAATTTTTTATTTTAAAAACAATAGAAATTTTTTTATTAACTATTCTATTCTCTGTTTTATATTCTAAAATATAATATTAAAACGTTCTAGATCTTTAAACCAATCGAATTCAATTATTTAGTCATGTGATTTTCTAAAACGCGCCTTTTTTAAATAAATTAAAATATTGCATATTTTCATAAAACAAGTAAAATTATTTTATAACATAATATTTAACTGGTAATGCAAAAAATGGCTAACTCATTATTTAATCCAGAAAAATATTACGCAAGCCGAAGATTTTGCTCATGGATGACATTAAAGCTTGGACATCTATTAGAGAAATCTCTAGGTTTGTGCAATTTTTAGCTAAAATAATGAGTTAGCCTTTTTTAAAAATCGGCTCAAATGGAGCTATTTTATAATTAAAAAGAAATAATTTTTATTATAAACAATGATAATAATTTAAATAGTAAGAAATAATCACAATGAAATGATTATTCTAATTATTATGAATAAATAATGATATTAGAATAATGAGAAATAAGATTATCTTAATTATTACGAAGAATTAATAATTTTTAAGTATGAAATGAATATTAATTATTACTAAATTAGTATTATATCGCCGGGGTGGCCTAGTAGGTTTATGATGTATGCTTGGAAGCAGAAGGTAACAGGTTCAATTCTGATAAGGAACTATAAAATTTTCAGGTTTTTCTTTGATGACTGATGTGTAAGGCTAAGGACATATGATAAGATTAATTTCTGAGCTTAGAAATGCCACCCGCATTTAATATAATTTTTTTTCCTAATTTTATTAGATATATATAATAATAATAATACTATATTACGTTAAAAAGAAGTAAGGTGATTTTCCTTCAGTGCTATGAAAATAATTTATTTCTCTACTAAAGCAAATATATAAGTTCATTGGTTGAGATGGATAAATAAAAGTCGAAATCCATAATAGACGAACTTGAATTGAGGATAAAAAAGACGTATTACAATTACGATAACCTTTATGAGATAACAGGTAATCTTTTTTGTCATAATAAGTCCCAATGGGTCGATGAGGCCCATCAGGTTGAGTCTGATCTATGACCCAATGTTACATAAGTGTCACAAATGTATATCGTGATGGAAAAATATCTATGTGACACATTTGAACCTCTATTTTATGAACGTTTTAGTTAAGACCGTGTTGTACCCATTTTGACTGACTACTTTTTTATTAAACCGCTCGATTTTTATCAATTCATATTTGAGCATTCCTGAGGTTACTCGCTTCAACCTAGATTCTACCAGGTAGTGTTGGTAAATGGTTCGATTTCACTGTTTTAAATTAATATTTTGCAAGCCATGATATTTTGTTAGTACAAATCTTTCTTACATTATGAGCTAAATCTCCTGGTTTGCGAAAAAAATTTAGCTAAAATACTGGGTTTGCCATTTTTAGAAATTGAGTCTTTTAGCATATGTGATTGGGTGATTCCACGTCAAATCGACCAAAAAAACGAGATTTTCGGCCGACCATCTTAAAAATGAATGAAACTTGGCATGTTAGTTATTTATGTTGTAAATGTTAATAAAATCAAAATTTTAGAGTGCTAGCTCTACCAGATCCAAAGATATACGCCTTCAAAGTCGAAAATCGCGAAGTGTGTGATTTCATTAAATCTGGTTATTTTAAAAAATATTTAAGATAGAGTTACAAATTATATATCATTTTATAGCCCTTAAAATTTTACGTTGGAAAATATAATTAAAAAATTTCAAGTGTTATTAGCTTATTTCCGGTAAAAATAAAAAATTAACATTGTTAGGAAGAGATTTTTTTTGGGTGTTAATATTCACTAAAAATGTTTATTACCTTTATATTAAACGATTTAATAAAAAATATCGATAGTCATTTTTGTTTTTTTAATTTTATTTAAATTTTTATTATTTATATAAATAATAAAAATTTAAATATGGCGTTATATTAAATTTTATAAATAAAAAAATGTAATTATGGCGTTATATTAAATTTTTTTTATAATATATAATTTTTAATATAGCATTGTGATTAAAATTAAAAAATCAATTGAGTATAACCAAGAATGATGTCCTGGGGCTATATGTAAGCAGGCAGCCCATAAAGATATTATATTGACGCTATATTGTAAAATAAACATATTTTAAAATTTTTTATTTAAACTATTGTAATTTTGCGCTTATTACCAGAAATTCCTAAGGCCATAATTTGTAGATATATCCTTTCATTGTTGTGGATCTACTATCGTTAATTTTTGAAAGAAAACCTTAATTATATGGTAATATCAAAGTCACTACATAACGTTATTGCAGTACATTTATACCAGCCTAAAATGATAAAAATTTTGACCAATCAATTCAGGAAAAAGCCAAACAAAATATACAGCTCTGGCAGATCAGCTGCGCAATATAAAAACATTTCTAAATCTGTGTTATCGTGAATCAGATCTTGGTGTAGCAGCTTAATGGCATTTTCAGCTACATCCTATGGAAAAGGTCCATGTGACGGCCTTGGCGGAACATAAGATTAGTAGCACGTTCAAGCTTTCAGCGCATCAGTTCTGGACACATTTTAACGCAAGTAGATTTATAACAATTTGCAAAACAAAACATGAAATCAGTAAATTTTACATATATAACCAACGAATAATACAATTTACAAGAGATTAATCTACGAGAACGATTCAATTTAGCTCATCCCGTTCCAGGAACTCGAGAAATACATGCTGTATTTCCTTTGAGTTTAAGTAAACTTAAATCAAAAATATACTCATATGCAGAGGACTTTCAAACTAACAATATCTCAAATCCCGATAATTTGTCTTTTGCCGATATTAAAGGATTCGTAACATGTGTTTATGACGATTTTTGGTGGTTAGACACAGTAGTAAAAAAGAATGAAATTACTGAGGAGATATATATTTCCTTTTTACACACGGACCATCACCATCCTTCTTTTACTACACAATTGAGGAAAAGATATGGTTACCCATTAATCAAATAATAACAGTAGTAGATCCTATTACAGTGACAGGACTACCTACAAATTATCGTCTCAAGAAATTCTATTAATATGCACAAAAATGGGATAAGATTAAAACAAGAGGTATTTATTTTTATATTGTTTGTATATAAAATTTTAAAATATGTTTAGGGCTGCCTGCTTACATATCGCCCCAGGACATCATTCTTGGTTATACTCAATTGATTTTTTAATTTTAATCACAATACTCTTCATATTTTTATTAAAAATTACATATTATAAAAAAATTTAATATAACGCCATCTATATTGTATTTTATTATTTATAAAAATAATAAAAATTCAAATAAAATTAAAAAAACCAAAATGGCTATTGAAATTTTCATTAAATCGTTTAGTATAAAGGTAATAAACATTTTTAGTGAATATTAACACCCAAAATAAATCCCTTCCTAACAATGTTAATTTTTTATTTTTACCGGAAATAAGAAAACACTTGAAATTTTTTAATTTTTTTTTATATTTTCCAACGTAAAATTTTAAGGGCTATAAAATGATATATAATATGTAACTCTATCTTAAGTATTTTTTAAAATAACAAGATTCGCGATTTTTGACTTTGAAGGCGTATATCTTTATCTAGTTAAGCTAGCACTCTAAAATTTTGATTTTATTAACATTTTCAACATAAATAACTAACATGCCAAGGTTCATTTATTTCTGAGATGGTCGGCCGAATCGCCGGTCGATATGTCATGGAATTTCCCATTGTTAACAACACTGCTTTCATGGCTAGTGCAAGGCTAATTATCAGTGGTTTATTGGGAGGGAGGTATAATTTTTTAATATATTTTAGCTTCCTTTCCAAATTTTGAGGAAGTGCTTAATACCCTAAACCAAAAATACACTATAGTTTTGCATTTCTCCTTTATCAATCTTTACATGCAAAATTTTATTTGACCAAAATGATTTTTAATATAGTAATTTACAGTTAGTTTAAAGATTCTAATAAACTAACAATTTATTATAGATAACTAATTTAGAAGTTATGATATTTTACAGGAATTCAAAAATAATGCCCTTTTGGAATTTTGTGTTTTAGTCATTGTTTTAAATGGTCATAACTAATATCAGAGTTGGTAAGATAGCCTGCTTTTAAATATCTTCAAAAACTTAGTTAAACAGATTTTATTTTTAAATTTTAATTCTAAATTCCCCGTGGATATCTAATTGAACCGATTATCCAAGAGAAAAATTTTAATTTAGATAAAGAAAAAATGAATAATTCAGCCCTAGCCAAGAAAATAATTGATCTTTTAAATCTGCTCGCATTAGCCCCAAAAGAGATCAAAATGTGGCAATTAATAAATGCAGTTTGCAATAATTATCGGTGAAAATCATGGATCAAATCTTGTTCATTTTGCTCAAAAATTAAGATATAAGACATAAAGACTTTATCGATTTCTACCTACCTCAGAATGATTCATTCTTTGGGCTTCAAATTTTATAAAGTGATTTTCATTGTTTATTGATAGGCCAAGAAAAAAAATCTCTATTAAGAGTTTGCCAAAAAAAGAAAATATATTATTCGCAAATAAATATAAAGAATGGACCTTTACCGAATGTCAAAAGTTGTTTATGGTGTCGGTCCAAATATTTGATTGTTAGTACTCGTAATAATGTGTACGCAAGGCAAATAAACCATCATCCGGATAAAATAAAAATGTTTTAGAAATTATGTATCTAAGCACTGCCAGGCAATGTTCGAGACAATAAATGGAGGCTTCAGACGTTATGAAAGCTAAAGAGACGTTTCTTAATGATATATTATTTTGCCCAGAATAAAAACTAAAGCGTTCAGATTTTTTTTTACTTAATTACTTAGAATTAAAAAATACTTAAAGCTAAGGATTTATACTGAATGTCACAGATATTTTTCTTAAAACCATGGACAATTTTGCAAAGTAAAATATTGATTTTCTCAGAATATTTTAAATTTCACAGGAGAAATAATATAAAATCGTGAATTGTCGACTTTAAGTAATCTATGCTCTCGGTTATAGGTAATAATTTAAGGTAGGGAGGGGGGGGGGTAAAATTTTTAAATATAATATCAGGGATCCAAACCGAACCTGAATGAACCATCAAACCGCTAAAAACCGGTATTTTTATTAAACCTAAACCGCTAAAAAAATTTCTAAACGAACCTCTAAAATGCCTTTGAACCGGTTCGAGCCTCATGAACATGATTAATGTGTTATTATATTACTCGTATATTGTAAAGTTTTAATTATATACAAATTGTTTTAAAGATTATCATCAATCATATTTGATTGATAAGTGTCAGTCATAATTTTTATCAACTTTAATATATTGCCATTTTACAGCATTTTTATAAGCTTATAATTTATAATACCTAGAGAAAAATCCAATATATAAATTATTTACATATAGTATTATAAATGACACATCAAAATATAATATTACTTATTGTCAAATAAATATGAAAGGCCATCATGGAGCAAATCTTGAGCGTCACATAAAAAGAAACCACCTTCTAGAATTCGAATAAAATTAAAAAATATCACAACAAAAGCCTAATAAAATAAAAAAAAGTGTAAGATCATATTATTAAAATATAGCATAACATGGAATTAAACTTTGTTATAAAAGTGGAGTATTCTATTGAAGGTGAATATCTTCATCTGAAGAGGATTTAGGTAGAAAGTCATCTTAAAAAAAAGATGGTAACAAACAAAATCTGTACTAAAATCGGAGAATATTAGAAATATTTTAGTTAATTTTTCTAAAGAACCTAGATTAAATAAAGATATGAATATTTTAGACTATTGAAGAAATCAGGGTAATTGATAACCAGAATTATATAAATTTTATGATATAAAACTTGCGGTGCTGGCTAGCTAAGTTATTGGAGAAAGATGTTTTTCAACAATTAAATTTATACTATCTCCTTATAAATGTAATTAGAGTGAGACGAATCTTGAAAATATATTAATTGTGCTGTTTAATAAAAAAAAATTAAGTAAATAAAGTAAAATATTGTATATATAAAAATTAATCATTGATATTTATTTTTATATTTATAAATTAAATATTATTTTATATAATGTGCAATTAATAAAATTTTTATTTTTATGATGAAATAAAAAATTATATTCTTCCTTATACATAATTCGAATGTAAGTTTGAATACAAAAGTGTTCAAACGGTTTTAAGAGGTTCAAATCGAACCGTTCATTGAACCAAACTTGAACTTTGAACCCTTATTTTTATCCGAACCTGAACCGAACCGATATTCGTTTCGGTTTGGATCCCTGCATGATATCTTGTCATGGGTAAATGAAAGCAAATAAAAAGATAATTATTTATTGATTCTCAACAATCTATGTCAACATGCAGGGGGGGGGGGTGAGAGTGGGGCAAAAATATTCATCCATTTTATGTCAATATGGGCATCAAATGAAAGCTAATAAAAAGATAAATTGATTATACTGATACTCAACCAACACTCTCAATGTCACCAGAATATTTGTTTGTAGAGGGATAGGGTTGTAATTTTTTTACATACAATATGTCAACATGAATATCGGCAAAGTAGTGATCTGCATCAGGCCTAATTTTTTAAACCCGAAATTCTTTTAAAAAGTATCCGAAATTCTTTTAAAAAGTATTGCCGGCCAGACCCAAATCCGTTATAAAAAAAATTTATCCGCCCGGCCCGAATTTATTTAAATATAGAAATTAATTTTTTTTAAAAATTGTAATTAATCAAAATAAAAGATATATGTCATATGGTGTCTTGTTTCTATATATAAAATCAACTGTTTTTACACAAAAAATTCAACATAAAATTGATAAATTTAGATCTATTTTTAAAAAAATTCCAAGGCCCGCCCGAATTTTTTGAAAAAATATTAGGCGCGGCCCGACAATCCCCCGTTCTGGCCGGACCTGCCTGCTTTTGCAGATCTCTAATGCAAAGATCAATTGATAACATTGATGCTCATTTGGGGATTTGGGGAGGGGAGGTTGAAATTTTTTAGTAGAATATCTCAACATGGATATTAAATAGAAGCTAACGACAAAAATATAATTTTGCTGGAATTGTATTTCAATATGTGTAGAAAACCTACTATGTGATTTTTAGGAAATTTTGCTTTGAACTTAATACATTGTATATTAGTTTTTCTATAGATTTTTTATATAAATTTTAAATGACTAAAAAGTTTACTGCAAACTTATCTGAAATTCATACGGTAAGTATTTTGAACATGCTGGAATTCATTTCCATTAAAGTTGGATTTAAAAAACTCACCCAAAAAATGTTTTAAAGTAAAAAAATTATACATTAACTGAAAAAATACACTGATGTTAACAAATATAAGCCTACAATTATTTCAAAATTTTTTTTAAAATAAATAAAGCCATCAGAGTAAATGTATTAATATTTTTGACCAAAATAACCCAGTTATTATTTTGACAATACCCCTCTCCCCAATCCAGATACAAATAATCATTAAAAAAAAATAATATTTCTAATTTATTTAATTTTGTTCTACTTTTGTAAAAAAAAATAATTTTTTTTTAGTTTGCCTGGGGACTTTTATATTTTGACCACTGAAAAATAGCGCATCTATAAATAATAATTACCAAATCATTTAGACAAAAGAATTGAAAAATAAATATATTTTTACTAAAAAAAATGGTCTAATTTATTTTCATAAAAAATTGCTTTGAGCATTCTTTTTATCTATACATTACTATTCCTTTTTAGTCAAAAAAATTTTAAATACTTCCTTCTTTTTTTTCCATCTAATTATTGCTTTTATCAAAATGAGCATTAAAAAAATAAATACATAATTATTTTTCAGGAATATAGATAAATTATAGAACATATTCATTTTTGGAAAAAAAATCCTTTTAGCTAGGATTGAGCTAACGTGGTCAGGCTTAGTTAAGGAATGGGTCAGGATGTTTCACTATCATTAAATGTTACTTTCACATCATTCTAATTCAAAATCATTTTTTTTTTATGTTTTCGTTTTTTAAAAAATATTATTTACAATCATGAAAATGAAAAGAAGCTTATAAAATAACAAAAATTATTTTTTTTTTCGGTTTGTGGTTTTAAAATTTTTTTAAATATTTTTTATTAAATATTTATATATAATTTTTTTTATTAATACAAAAATACTCAGGTATTCTTAAGGTATACGAATTCTTATTTATATTCCATAGATATATTTATGAAAAAAAATGGATGTTTTTAACAAAATTCCATAAAAATAAACATAATTTTTATTACATTTCTTAATGCCTTATCGTTGTTTTAATTTTTATTCCAAAAATTATACATATTCAGGATGGAAGAATTTATTTTTTTTAAGTTAAGTGCCTCCTAAATAATAAAAACATGAAGATGGATTAACCAAAACAAAAGGTGTGATTTTTAAAAATTTCTAATTTTATACTTAAGATTTAATATTTAAAAATGAAATTAATTGTAAAGGAAAATATCTTATATAAATAAGCATTTTTAATTATAATATATATATTGATTTTTGCTCATCTTCTAACTCTTGTGAAAAACAGGAAACAAATTAAATTAAAAAAATATATATATTATAATATTTAAGCTCAAACTAAGTTGTTATTAATTTACTTTTTATGTCGAAATTCTTATTTACCTTCTATAATTAAATAATTTGTAAAAATAGCTATAAATTTTGCTGACAAAAAAAAAGAAGAAAATAAGCGATTCAAGGAACGATGCCAAAATAATTGCCTTTTAATTTTCTTTAAATTCTCACGATTTTAGTTAAACAAGCTTAGGTTGCTTTTAGTGGTGTGTTGTGCACGTGTAATATTTTATTTATTTGTTTTTCGATAATTTGTTTTTCAAATTAGATTAGATTTTGGATAGAGAAATTGGGTCAAATTGAACTACAAATATCTGTTGCAAGGATATATTTTTTTTTCCACGTTTACAAATATTAAAAAAGAATAACTTTAAAACTGAATTTAAAACTTTTGGTAATTTTTTTTTATTTGGGCTTAATTTAAATGTTGAAATTTTATTAGAGAATTTATATTAATCTTGTAAATATTATTTGTAGGAGGATTATTAAAAACATGAAATAACGCACTATCATAAAAACGTAAACTTTGAATCCTCTAGTTCGCCCGATAATCAAAAAGGAAAAACATTTAGAAATTGAGATCGAAAATTATGAATGACCTCAAAAATATAAATTGTAGGATTATTAAAGAAGTGAATGATACAACGAGCTCTCACAAAAACGTAGACTCTCAATTCTCTAGTAAAAAGGAAAATCATGTAGAAAAGGAGACCGTAAATAGGTATGACTTCAAAAATACGGGAAACAGTTTAGTGCTGCACACTGAGGTATCGTCTACTATAGAAAATCTACCCTCTATCAACCACAATAATAAAATATGGAGTAAGCGGAAAAAGAGCGTCATAACGCGCAAGTTTTTATGCCTGAAAGAAGCTCCACCCTTCAATGCCAAAGAGAGGGAAGCTGAAATTTTGTTAACTGAACCTAAGGATGGAGATAATGAGATGGAGGCAGAAAATGAAGAATATTATACATCACCGCCATTAACCCATTATAACAATGCTTTTCGCGATGAAAGGAATAGACATGAGGAGGTCAAAGATTTAGAAAGTGAATATGAAAATAACGGGAAATCATACGGTCATAGTGGGTGCGAAAGCTTGGAAGAGTTAAATTACAAAGAATATAAAAACAGCACCCAATACTTTGGAAGTGACGAAAAGGCAATGCACGATAAAACAAACATTTCTCTTTCTCCTTATAATTTCGCCGACCAGGGAGAAGACTTCAAGAATGGGTCTAATATTTCCAATGGGTTCAACAATCAGAATTTAACGGTAAAAAAAAACTAGATACATATATACATATATATTTAGGTGGGTTATAGTGTTGCTAATCGAAACAAACATTTCAGAATTCAGAAATATACATTAATTTTAATGATTTATTTATCTAAAAAATAGAAAGTTTTTATTAAAAATTATACAAGTTATCAATTGTGTAGTCTAGGTTAAAGTAAACAAATATAAAATTGACATAAAAAAATAATTTAATGATAAACCCTCTTTTGAAAATTTTATATTTAATAATCAAATTACAAAAATTATGATAATTTCAGATCTATAATTTGAAAATAGTATTAGATATTTTATTTTATATTATTATTATATTTTAGGCCTCTCACAAGCGAGGCTACTACAAGGCTTATACTAAGGGGCAACTTATGAAAGCTCTGGAAGCCGTCCAAACTGCTAAAATGAGTGGGGAACAAGCGGCAAAATTTTTTAAGGTACTTTCTATTTACTAAAATGAATTATTATGAAATATATATGTACAAATAAAATTATTTGGTGCCTAGAAGTACCCTTCACCATCATTTAAGACCTATGCAATATTGGTGCGTCTACTGCCAAACGGATTTGAGATACAAAACAGAATGGAAAGAGCACATAAAAACCCACAAGAAGAAAGTTGGGGGAGCGAATTTAGGGAATAATAATAATCATCCCAACCATCAAATCAAACATGAATCCCCCACGGTAGAACTTAATGGTAATATAACAGTAAACGAACAAAATAGTACATCCAAATTGACCATCACCTATAATTTTAAGAACTGCAATCCTGGCCAAAATGGAGATTTGTGGAAAAAAAAATAATCATTTATTTTATATTGGTCGTAACGATATTGGCTAAAAAAGGGTCGCATCGGTGAATCTATGCAATAAAAGTAGTATTTTCTTTAGTATAAATTTCATAAGCATAAATCATCCCTTTTTTATAAACTATACGTATTTGGTTCGTAATTATCCGAAGCATTTTTCGATGTTGTATGACGATCGATTGGTTCCTGTTAACAATTTTTTTTTTAATTTAAGTAAAATTTAAAATAAAAATAATTTTCTTTTTTATTGCCGATGTCCTAAGAAGTCTTATATTTCCCTTATATTCCCTTTAACCTCCATACAAAACCAGGGCAAATAGCAAATGATAAAAAAACTTAAATCATACACATAACCGATTATTTATAAATTCATTAAATTTCTTTTCTTACAGTCTTAACTAAAGTTGTCCTAGAATATATTTGATCGATTAGATTCTCCGTCGACCAAATAACGGGCATGATAATTGCTTTTATCTGTCCTCACATCCTCACGAGGGAGCCATAATACTTTTCGAACCTATCGTTATTCGTCATATCACAATGGTTATTTTGAATATTACTAAATATAAATTGTTTTGATTTGGTATTAGTTGTGCTTTGAATCTCGCCTCTTCCATGCCTTTTCCGTATCATTCAAGGTCTAATAGCTTCCCAAAACTCAAATTTAGAGGTGATGAGGAGAGAAATAATTAAGAGCCCGATTACCAAAGATAATGTAACTATTTGATTTGGTATTAGTTTTGCTTTGAATCCCGCCTCTTCCAAACCTTTTCCTTACCACTATACGTCCAATAGGGTGGCGAACTATTTTGATTCTTGTTTGGTTGTGATATAGGATATGTTATAGTTTAATTATTATCGGTTATATGCTTGATTTAAGTCTTCTTGATCATCGCTATTCGCGCTGGTTTTGTAAGGAGGTGTGAAGAGAGTATAAGGAAAATATAAGACTTTTCAGGATAACGACGGTTTTGTAAGGAGATGGGAATGGTGTGTAAGGAAAATATAAGACTTTTTAGGACATTGGCATATTTAAAGGAGAAAATTATTATAGATTTTATTTAACAATTTTAAAAAAATTGTTAACAGGATATACTGAAGAAAATACTACTTTTATTGCATAGACTCACCGGTGCGACTTTTTTTTAGCCCAACATCGTTACCACAGATATAAAATAAATGAACTCCATTTTGCCTTTATATTTTTAGTTTCAATTTAAACCACTAACCTTCTATCATTTGAAGGAAGTCATTTTCTTGTATAACTTGATTTTCTCTTTTCGAAAGAACGAGAAAAAAAAAGAAACTCTTTTTAAAAATTATTGAAGGTTATTTCTATTTTTGGGTATCGGTTAAAATTGAAAGTATCTGGGCATCTCTATTTCGTTGAATTTTGTCGTAAATGTTACACCAAAAATAAAGAATAATGTTTAACTTAAACAACAACACTTATTCAGGGATCGACACTCTGCGAAATTACTTGTTGAAAAGAAAATCCAATGAAGAAATTTCAGCGGCGGACATCTCTTTAAGAAAAAATGACAAGAGTATTCTCACTCAACAAAGCTTTGATAATAAGTTCGAAAAAACAACATTTTATAACGAACAACCATTGAGTCTAAGGAAGATTAGGAACGCACTCAACAATGGTGATCACAAGCCAACGGAACACGTTTCTCCCGACTTTGTGTGTGCCTTGTGCGGGCTCGCTTTGAGTGATAAAAACGTGTTTTTAAACCATTTGTTTGTGCACAATCAAATTTTTTTGGCCTCCCATGTCAACTCGTTGGAAGGTTACAATAGCAGCGGGTATTCTATGGTTGGAGGTTCTTTATCTTCTAGCGACATGGTAAAAAACATTCAAAAAATAGGATGTGACATCGTAACCAAAATGAATAAGCTTTATGATGGGATGGACGACAAATTTTGGGGAAACCTTTTGGATCACGAATCATCTACGAAGGCCTCCCGTTTTAACAAAGATTCTTTCCTCGTGCCAGTTCAATCGGCCCAAAGATTAGCATGCGAATAATGGAAATACAAAAAGCAATTTTATAAATAAAGTCGGTAATCTAAGCAATAAAGAATCAAACGATATTTTTTTAAAGAACCGAGATGGAAAAGAAGCAATCGTCTAAATACACGAAATCTCAATTACAAAACATTATTACAACCGGAAGCTATGGCTATTCCATGATGGATGGTTCCAACTTCTAGTGAAATGGTAAAAAAACATTCAGAAAATAGGGTGCGACATTGCTACCAAGAAGAATAAACTCTATGATGGGATAGACAATAAATTTTGGGGAAATCTTTTACAGCGTAAATCGTCTACAAATGATGTGGCGTCCAACTTCGATAAGGATGTTTTCCCCTAATAATATATGATCGAGAATGAGGTTGTTATGACCACGCTATTTTTCGTGGCATATAAATATATTGATATTAAAGGTGCTTCCAAATATTTCAAAATCCCCGAAGATAAACTTCAGAAATATTACCAAACCTTTTGCATGGGTACTATGAGTTCGGGATAGAAGAGCATGCGCCTAATAATGAGCTCAATAATATGAGTTTCTAGAAAACTAATTATTCATCCAAACAACTACCCTACACTCTTTAGATTAATTAGAACAAACGAACAACTCCTAGCTGCATGATCCTCATCCAAAAGATACTAACAATAATTTTGTCAATAAGCAGGCATTAAAAGTTCAAATGATATTTCTAGCTTAGCCCATAGGAGATTCATAAATTCGCACTCTTCTAAAAAGGATATGGCCAAGAAACAATCATCCAAATACACGAAATCTCAATTTACTATCAATAATTTTGTCAATAAGCAGGCATTAAAAGTTCAAATGATATTTCTAGCTTAGCCCAAAGGAGATTCATGAATTCGCACTCTTCTAAAAAGGATATGGTCAAGCAACATCATCCAAATACACAAAATCTTAATTAAAAAAAATGAATAACAGTCATTCACGGCCAAAAAACGGTTGTACAAGTCTCAAAATTTATATGGTATTCCATACAGGACATTTTATGACTATATAAGAAACTACAAAAGCACTCCGAACATATTTAACGATGACTTCGAAGAGGATTTTAACATTAAAAATGAGGAGGGAAAGTGGTAAAACATATTAATTCAGACATTTATACCAACGAAAATACCGATAGTTTTTATGACCATAAAGAAGCCTCTACCGATAATAACCAAATTTCCGAAAATATAAAGCATAACAATGTTGATTAGAATGATGACATAGAAGATAAACTACCCTCGTTGAACAAAAACGAAATTTGTTTCGAGTCCTTCTAAAGGTGAAGAACCAGATTCTATGACGCCGGAAGACACGATTAACAATAACTGCGAATTTTCCAACAAGAGAAAAGCTAAACTGCCCTCTAAATTGCTTTCGACTACTATCATCAGAATAGAAGCTACTGAAGAACCCGATCAAAAAGTTACTCATCTCCCCTCAAGCGAAATTACAATTACTGGGAACGCCGATAATGTTAAATTGATTTCCACTGTCAATGCCAATATCCACAAGGAGATGTATGTTGATGGAATAGATCCCGTAGGCCATGATTTGAAACAAGATGTTGCCAAAGATGATGACGGTAGTTTAAATGGCGAGATTTGCAACAATGTACTGTTCAAAAAAATAAATCTCCGTGCCGCTACTACCTGTACAAAAATATATCTAAAATAGTTAAAATCAATCATGATACAAAAAGAATTGATTGATACACCATTATTAATTTAAACTATTTTCTATATTTTTTTTGCAGGCAGTCTTGATTTACGCATTTTATTTTAATTTATAATTGCGCTTACCTTTTTTGGTTTTTTTTTCGTATTAATTTTCCTTACAATTAAAAAAGACATTTAAAATCATTTAATTTTTTATTTTCTTTAATATATTTTCTTCGAAAGAAAAGCTTTTCAAATGTGATAAGGGATTTAGATTTTAACAGATTTTATTAACTAATTTAACAAATATATCTAGCAATTTGAAAAAAAAGTATTTATAATATTTGTATTCGCATATATTTTTATATCGAAATTTATATTATTAATTATATTATAATACTTAAACTAATAGTATTAGAATATCAGGGTTACATTTTTTACTAAATTGAAATTTTTAAAATAATTATGACAATCGAAATTATATCTTTTCGTTTTAATTATGATGAGAGGTCTTACTGAACCCATTGTATATATTAATAAAAATATATAAATGTGAAATACGAGTAATCGAGGACAAATAACTAGTAATTTAAAGGGCACATAGGAGTACTTTGGTGTTCATAAATAGGGGAATTTATGGGAAAGGCGGCGGAGGGGTTTTTCCATAAATTTTATTGGCAGGCTTTAGGCTAACTCTTTATTGGACTTTGATTTGGTTACCCTTAGATATGTAAATTTCACTGTAAACTATAATTAGCATAAATTTCCAGTAAAATTTGGGGGAAAAGGTTGGAAATTTTCTTTTGAAAAAAATAAGGTCAGTATTGATTTTTTAAAATGCATTATTGAAAACTTATAAAGATGGAAACTATTCCAGTTCAGAGCTTGAACATCAGCAATTTGTCATTTACAGAAGTTGCTTTTCCCATAGACTAAAAATTTGTTCTTGTAAATTAGTATAAATATAATATTTTACAGTTCATTTGGAAAACAGTAAGAATTCGCTGCTAGAGTCTAGTACATCAGAGGTACGTTAAAATATTATATTTTATAGCTAACTTGGGTAAAGATAATTTGCTCAAATGGCCTAGAGACCGTCTCAGTATTTTGATATATATTATTATTTATTGAGACACATTTCGTAAAATGATCATATATAGAAGAGGATTTTTGAAAACAGTAGGAATTCAATGTTATAGTCTTGTTCATTAAAAAATTCTGATAAACATATTTTTGTTTATATAGATACTTTTCGTTAAAATAATATTTTACAGCTAATTTGGAGAATGATTTGAGTTTAAATGAAAACCTGGTTGATTACACAGATTAACTATCTCTTGGTTTATATTTTATTGTTAATATGCATTTCGTAAATACAAATGCTCTAGTGATAATTCTAGCCTGAACGAACACATAATAGGTGTTGATGCACGGTTACATATGTCTCAAGTTTATATAATAAAAATTTTTTTGAAAACTGATTTGGTTAATCTAAAGTAGTGGAGGGAGGTTATGGGCGAACGGAATATATCTTATAACCTTGTAAATCAAATAAATTATGGAGACCCCGGTATATTATTTGTTAGAAGTATTTCTTAAAATTATAATATAAATTTTAAGTACAAATTATTATATGCGATGAAGCAAAATTTAAATATTTTTTTTATATTTGAAAAAAAAAATGTAATTCTTTATTAGTCAGGCATTACCATTTAATTTTGGTCATCTAATTTTTTACATTAATTAAATTTTCGGGGTATTCTTTTTTATAATTCTTCCTTAGTTAAATTGAATGGTAGAAAATTTATTTTTTTTATTATATATTTAAAGTGAATTTTCAGAATCTAAGTTAAATTTTTTAAATGTAAATTCATTTTCTATTACAATTTCTTTTTTTGGGGGAAATGTGTTGATGAAGATTAGAATTAATTATTTCGAATTGGAATTATATATCTAAAAATTAATATAATGAAATAATTTTAAGACAAATCGAATAGTAAGTAATACTAATGGTAAATATATTAGTTTTGTTAGAATCCTAATAAAGAATTATTCGACTCAAATAAACGAGTTTGGTGAATTATATGAATAACTCGCTTTTTCGAATAGGTTAGGTTCTAACAAAAATCACTAAGAATTGGAAATCTCATTTATATCTCCTATAAAGATTTTGAAATAATATTAATATGGTAGGGAAGTAAACCCTTGTATTTAAGTTGAGTTTTTATAAAAATTATTACTCAAAATGGAGGAAATATTATCGTTGCTCCTAATTTGATTACCAAGACATTTCCCCCATTTTAGTTAGTGTGTTTACTTCCCATCAATATTAATTTCAAATTTACTTTAAAAATTCTAGAAGATCTAACCGGGATTACCAATTTTTAGCGATTTTTGTTTTAGCTATTTAAGAATGTGAACTCGAAAAATTATTAAATTACTCCCGAAATTGGATTTAGAGTATTTATTCATATATTTTGTAATAAAATTTTATCATTGTGTAATTTCTATTGATAATCTATCAATTTTATAGTAGGTATATATATCAACTGCCCGTGAACGCCTCTTCTTAAATTTTGCCAAGAATGGCATGTCTTGTAAAGTAGAAATTTTAATAAAAAACTTTTAGGCATAAAAATTTGCTTGGAATTATATATTAATGAATATGCATGTTAATTTCGTTTGAAAACTTGATCGCATTATCATCAGTTTATTATAACTTTTTTTTCTGTTTAAAATTAGATATGCAATAAAAAAAAATAAATATGTCGATATTACTTTCTTATATAATTATTTTATAATACTTTTGAAAAACGAACTTTCCAATCGATTACAAATAGTAAATTTTTATTATTGGAATGAAATGTAAATTATTCGATTCATTTAAACGAAACAAATATGAATCTTGCATTTGTATGCCCTTAGGCCCGGCCCCTAATTTTTTAAAATATACACGCGCCGAGCCGCACCCAAAAAATTTTCTTAAAATCGAAACCCTTTATTTTAATACCAAATATTTTAAATCGCCATTATCATAAAAATTAAAAATAAATAAAATATATTTAAAAAAAAAAAATCAAATGATACCTCTGCAGGTTTCTGTTGAATTAGATATTTATCTAATACAAGAGTGATTGGTGGTGGTTCATAAAATAGGGGAGACCGGGGTAAAGCGATTGACGGGGTAACAATGTTAACGCGAATAACTTTTTAACCATTGAGTATAAAGACCTTAAATTTGGTGTGAAGATGTATTTTTATATCTAATTTCTTACCTATGTTCATCTTTTAAAAAACTTACCTGGTTTTATATATTTTGTCAAAAAACTGTTTTTTACCCAAAAAATATAAAAATCATTCTCTAGTATATTTTGCTTTTAGTAAAATTTACATATCCTCAGGATTCAAAATTTGGCACACATGTTCCTTAATGTATTAGCTATAAAATAAAATTTATCTGACATCTTTAGCTATATTAGAAGTCACGCAATAACGATATTTATAATATATGTCACCTAGGGGTAAAGCTGTTATGGGTAAAACGGTTAAAATATAAAATTATTCACATTAATTTTTCATTAATTCATTTATTATAATTTTTATTGTATCAATCAAATAATGAGAAATTATAAAAGAAAAACCATATACAGAGATGTAAATATAATAAATGAAGCCATAAAATATAAAATAACAAATAATACTTCATTAAATTTGTCTGCTAAAAAATTTAACATACCTTATACAACGTTGAGAAGGAGAATGTAAAATTGGTATTAAAAGTTCAGATCATCATAAACAAATATTTACAAATGAAGAAGAATCTAGATTGTGTGACTACATATTAGAAGCAAGTAGGTCATTTATGGGATTAACGCTTAAACAAGTAATTAAATTATATTGTTTGTATTATATTGTATTTCATAATTTTAATAACTCAATTTAAATATCAATATTAATTTGGTAACTTTAATAAAAATGCTCAATTGAAAATATATTGTATTTCATAATTTTAATAATGCTCAATCTAAATATCAATATTAATTTGGTAACTTTAATAAAAATGCTCAATTGAAATTATATTTTATTTCATAATTTTAATAATGCTCAATCTAAATATTATTAATTTGGTAACTTTAATAAAAATGCTCAATTGAAATTATATTGTATTTCATAATTTTAATAATGCTCAATCTAAAAATCATGTGGGGCAACAATTTCAGATTTATGATATTCCAGGAGTGTTAAAAAATGAAATACCAAGGGCAGTGACATCAAATAATATATTAAATGGATTCTTAGCATGTGACATATTTCCTTTAAACCCAAATATATTTACAGAACAAGATTATATCTGCTGTAATA